CGGAGGGGGGGGGGGTTAATGTGATTTCCCCTAGCACAATTCGTAATCAACAGCTTAATTTTGGATGATTGCTTAGTGCTGTTACATCATTGCTTTCAGGAAGCAATTTCGTGGAATAATGAAATACAAAACGTACATCGGGCAATCCAGTGTATCGCATACCGTGACCACGGAACTTGTGGGCTCAGTGGATAAATTAATCTATGGGCGGAAAATAATATCGGCTCCAAACTTAGTATTAAATTACAAACTAGAAAATAATTTGCGTTCTCTAACAAGTGAGAATATTGCATGCCTTCTTTTTTCCCCAAAAAAGGGACTCACATTTTAAGAACGTTTTAATTTACGTCATCACATCTCGCCACGGGCATGCGTATATGTATAACATTTTAAGTGTTATCCTATGCAAGTAGAGGTTTTGCAATAAACTACTCCTCCCACCAAATTCCAGCACACTAAGTGAAACAGAAACTTCTGTCTGTTAACTATAATAGAAGTAAGGAAATAACTAACAAAATCCATTCGAGAACATTATTTTTGAAGACGACAGTCGCTCAGCTAGGTTATAGATACGCCATTTTGTAAGTTAATTACAGTTCAAATTGTGGTATTTGGACTTCTAAGCGGGGTAATATTTCAGATTTATACTGACGTTTCGGTGAAACATTTTCCATGGTTCAACAAAAAAAAAAAAAAGCCAGAACCCTAATTCACATAGCCCTGAACAGCTCAAACCTTGCGTCCATTACCGTGAAAGCGACAGCCCACAACTGAACCCTGTCAGCGCCATATTAAACCTGTCCACAAAATAACATTCTGTACGATTCCATCTATGTCTGTGTCTTACAAGTGGTCTCTTTCCATTAGGTCTAAATAACGAAGTGGATAAGTTGTTTATACAGAAAGAAGAAAAGAGTATAGGGACCAGACAAACCTTACTGGCTACTTTTTATTTGTATGGGAACGACTGCCCGGTCATAGCTTAAAATCTGTAAGTGTCTAAAATGTTATGTATTAAAACGTATCAAATGTGTAACGGTGCACACTTTAAGGGTTAGGCTTATAAGGAAAATTAAAGTGGCATTTACCAGATCGTAATGGTACTTGGTATAAGTGTTTTACAATAGTTTGGGACAGCAAATACTTCCGAGCAGAGTGAAAGCTATACTAGTTGTGTAAGTGGTAGTTTGCTTATGTCCGACGGATGATTACCAGTCTGCAGGGATAGGAGTAGACACGAACAAGACACCTGAGAAGAGGAAGGGAGGCATTGATGCATTGTAATATGGTGTTTAAGGACGATAACAATACAAATTATTGATTAATACACAACGCGATTCAAACAACAGATCACAGTCCAGGGCTACATGCGCTTGCAAGTGTACCTACTGAAAAATCAAAGAAACAACTGTGCCTTTAATTTGGGCCCATTTTTATGATAGTATCTTCACCTATAATAAATTAAACTTGTATCAGAGGACACGGAAAGCGACCACTTCCTCCTCGTTTCCCAGTACATACCCAGAATTTCGTTTGGCGTTACATAACCGCTGCAGATAATATAGCAGCAATGCATAACGAAATAAAAAAAAGGAGTCTGATGAATGTTGTAATAGTACTCTGAAAGCGACCAAGAATTCAAATCCTCCACTCTTTTTCATTCACCTCTCATTATAACGCTAACATGCATCTCAACGTTAGTAACCTATTTACTTGATAGAGGCTCGTTAAAATAATAGATTCTAGCGGGGGCTTTGTTTCCCTGATCTTAATTTCACTCGAATACAAGTGCACCACCCACCCTTGTGCGGCTGCTTCAGTGTTGTATTCATTAGCAATCATTTTTGTGAAATGAAATTGAAGGGTTTCTCACTGCAGCCCCTTCTCCATTGTGATAACCCAGACACTCGCAGAGAGTGTACGGAGGATAATGGCGTCGTTAGTGGGGTGAGTTTGAACTCTGAAGTGGCATAACAGCCCCTATTTCCAAGCATAACAAAGTTAGACCGAATGATGGTAAGGCCATTCGAGGTTCTATCTGTTCCAGTTAACTGCCGGACCATAATTGTAATTAATAAGCGTTATTAGTTGGAGTTCGTGCGTTACTCAATTCTGCAAAGGGTGGGGTTTAGGCATTCGGCACACACGAAAACTGCAGCCAGAAAATATCGTGTGAGCCAAGAATTCTGAACGCCTGTCCGGTACAAAATATGACAGAATTAAACACTATTTTGTAAATGTAATAGTTTGAATTTCACAAGAATGTGCTGTCATAGTTAAGAAGCTAGCGAATTTAATTTTATACAGAGGCACACAAATGCATTGTGAGTAGACCTAAGCGGACCGCAATAATATTCATCATTGTGCATGTCCTCCATTTTGTAACAGTTTCGGTTTCAGGCGAGTCATCTTTGTCGATAAAATTCTATTAACAGTTAACAATATGTAATAGTATGAAAAATCTGTTCAGATAAGTTACACCTAATTATATAATGCATAAAGACGAGCAACATGGAAGGGTGGACTACACGTAAGAGCACTTTCGAACCTAGCAGTGGTAAAGGAAGAATGAACTTAAACAAGCTGATAAAGAGCTTCTTATTTTACCCTCACACCAAATACTGCGAAGAAATCGAGAAACATCTACCCTGAGTTCTCTTAGACGAAGATTTTACGTTCCAAACCCACAGAAAGCAAAATGTAAAATCACAGGTTTGTCTGTTTCAAAATCTTTTCATTTTGTTTATATAAGACTGTAAGAAGCGTTTCTGAAAAGTGTAACAACTCCAGTAATTTTGGCTCTTCGTGGTTTCCGACATCTCTGAAGGCTGCAGTATGTTTCCCAGGCCGAGTATCGGATAGGCACGGTCTATTTGTTTACAAACGAGTAACGTCAAATGCAAACCATACATTTTCACATGTCCTGTCATCTACACCGCATCCACCAACTTTGTTCACTCACCACGCTCCTGGCAATTGCTCGGAAACGAAAACAGTTGGTTGTCGTGTATTTTCATACCAAGTGCAGTTTGATAGATCAGAAGAAAAAATAATATCCATCATCCTATGACTAAAGCTCACAGTGACTTGAACATGGTCTCAGTAAAATGGGTAAAATAGCATTAGTAAACTTGAATAAAAATTTTCTTGGATATTATCCATCGTCTAGTAAATATAAAACGTAAAACGACGTTTCGGAGATGGGATTAGCTCTATCTAGTGGGCCCAACTGTGTAGGAACCTAAATACGGAGATAGAGTCCCATCTCCGAAACGTCGTTTAAAGTTAGCATTATTTATAAAATTCGTGTCACATTACCTTAACGTTCCAGTCACATGTTGTTCTGATAACTGATGGACACGTGGTGGATGACGCAGAACCACGTCTTTGACTTGTCTGGACTAGCTTCGCGTTTGATGAACCTTTCTTTCCTGCAAAATGAACAGATGATTCTTAAATATATTTACCGTCATAGTTCAGTTTGTCAGTTTCATAAATCACGTAGAACAAGACGAGCTCCCTTGCATACAGACACATTACCAGAGAAGTTATTTGTTAACGAAACTTCTAAGCAACGTACTACATACACAAAACACGCACATAAATAATAACAATAATAATGAAATGAACTACTATTACACACACCGTGAATCCGACAGAGTCTCTATCTTTCATACGCCTGATAAGGGTACAGAGTGCCTCAATGTAAGTACGTCCAAGTTCAAATCGTGCAACATAAAGTTAAGAATAAAAGTTTTATTTTTATTGAACTGTTGTGTAACAAACTCATTTGTTATCCTCATGTTTTCAAGGTTCGAATTCAATCTTCGACTTACGATGAGGTTTAAGGTTCTTTTTTCTGGAAGAGATTGAAAAAACACATGATACATCAACCAATAAAACAGGTGTTAACAACTACACCACGACGCTTGGTTTGATGATAATGACCAAGAATTTGTAGAAATATTTTGAAAAAAAAAGAGAGAGAGAGAGAGAGAGAGAGTTGAAAAGACCTCATTGAGGTTTGTGCGAACGCAATCAAGTTGGTGGCACAGTCGGAAGTGGTAGCCACTGATAGGAGTTGTGTGGTTTCAGGTGACACTTGATCTGTCACACCGTGATCCCGCGGGAAGCCATTCAAACCGCCAGTTGCCATGGCGCCTCGCTAAGGTTTCCAGCACATTGGCTCCTCTCACCACTGACAGACATGTGCATTCTTGTCTCGGTTTCATGACGTTTACACTTTGACATGCGTTTCGCAGTCAGATATAATGAAGTATACGATTCGACCCGAATACAGCAGACCTTACAGTAGATCCTACTTTACGGTAACAGAGTGCATGCTGTGAGGGGAGGGTGGGGCAGAAATCGAACTAGTCGATTTGGGTGGTCTTCAGTTCAAATCATGACCAAGTCACCGGACATCCAGAGCGACCGTTTTGTGGTTTTCCTCAGTCTTCCCAGGTGCGAAGATCGAGATAATAACATGAAACAGACCAGCTACGGCCACCGAACACGGGATCAATATCTAAGTGCAAGTTCTACTCCTGTGAATAACAGCATCTAGTGCAATGTCACTTCGAATATTTTGTCAAATACTTTTTAATTTTTAATTCTGAATCCAGTTTGAACCATTTGACTAAATGCATTAATTTCCCTGATGCCACTGATGATGACCTCTTGAGGTCGAAACGCGTATGGCAATAGTGTCTTTTTATAGTGCTAATAGTTGTTGGTGTGCTTACTCTATATGAAACAGACTAGTTACAATCCCTTACCTATCCAAAATTCGTTTGCATCACCTCACATTCGAAGCTACACGACTTATACACTTGAAACAGTGTCGTCAAGCAACCTAAGAATCATTCAACACGTTATCTGTTAAGTCCATATCTGTTTTAAAGAGTATAACGGAGAAGAAAATGTCTTAAACTATTTCTAATAAACAATAATTAATGGTAGAACGAAGAAAATTACACAACGCACAGCTTCACAGTGAACAGCAATCACCATATGCTATCAGGGTGTCTAAATCAAGAAGAATGAAATGGAAAATGAGACTAGTGTCCCTCACATAAATGAGCTGTATATAAAGAGGTAGTTTCTCGTGTTGTCTGAAAGGTACATGTGCCAAAGATTTGGAAGCGCTGGTCTATTTGATGCACACACCTTTTGCCAAAGTGAATGGAGGAATGTTTTGTAAACAAGTTCCCATTGTAGCACGTTTGGTTTTTCAGCATTTACACCGAAAGTTTGAGAGTAGCGGAAACGACGGTTTACGAACACTAAACATTCTTTACAATTTCACGTCGTATTCCGACAGAGGCCAGTGATTATATGTCCATGAGAGCGCTGGAGTAACTGGTTAATAAAAATAATGGTGTGATCGGATACTAACACAAATTGTTGAATGAACAGTTCCGTGACTGGTCACATAACAGATCGCCTTAGTAGGAGGCACACGTGCTAAAAAGAGAAATAAATGTTACGTACAGAAATCTTATAGTAACACGCTCTGTTTTGCAGATGTAATGGACTCTTCATGTAGCGTAATGTATTTTATCGCACACGACCTGCCATTTCTTTTTAGATATATATATATATATATACGACCTCACGTCTCAATTTTCTGAACTTGAAGCTGACACCTTCAGTTTTGAGTGATCATGACGATGGTAATGACCACATGCCGTGACAAGCGTCAGTATTACCACTCTTATTGATCGGCCATGTGTGCTAACAGAAAAAAGCATAAGCCCCAATTACTGGCAACCTGATGAATCATGCTAGTCAACTCGTGCTTACAAATCATACTTCATTCCAAATTGGACCACCGAAGAGGGGTCATAACTTATCGTGTGAGATCACGGTCGATTGCCTCGGTTTGCTACTCTGAAAAAGAGTCAATAATAACATAAAACGAGGACGTTCGTAACAAATTTATGAAAACAGAAATTCAAGAATTATTTGCTGTTTAAAAATAACTTTTTTTTTAGATTCTCTCAAATGCATGCGAAAAAATTTGCATAAACTGATTTTTAGCTCACTTTGATAGACATTCACTACGGAATTGATTAATTCAAATTTATCATTACGATGAATGCGATATTCAAAATTCTTCCTTCATATGCTGACATCCTGTCCCCCCCACCAAACGATATTGACAGGAGGCTGGCTGCGCGTACGTCATGCTAAAATTATTATTATTATTATCGTTGTCAAAGTAGATTTTCGGCCTTCTGGAGATAATGGTTACATGACTATACGTGCGTTATGCTTACATTATGACAACCGCTGGCATGGTAACGCTTTTAAGAGAATCTCGGCCTCATGGTCTGCCTTGCTGAACATAAAACCACTGCCTCCTAGTCTGGCTAACAGCTGTCATGACCCAGAGTTTTTCTTCACTGCGTGTAGCTCTTGACTGTTATTATTGTCACACACGTGCAGTTTATTAGTTTCTTTAAAGCTAAAAATGGAAACCCATAGAAACTCGACGGGTTGCCAGTTTAATAATATTTACAAATAAAAGGTCGTTGTCTATGGATCCCAATAGAACACCTTACATCTGGAAAAAGAGGGACGGAGTTCTCATACTTCTGAAGCTGTAACATTTTCATATACACGTCCACATGCTCAAGTCCAGTTCTTTAACGCAATTATAAAAATTAATAGATTATTAAGAAAGGTCAGGCAAAGTTATCTTGTTTATGTAAGAAATTTGTAACAAAGCAGCTTACAAATCGCTCTGATGATAAAGGCAGCAAGAACGTCTGACGCATCGGCTAATTTTAACGAGACTACGCGGCACAACAACAGGGAAGAGTCACCTTCAGATTATCGTATGGTCTAGTGTGCAGTGGACAGCTCCAAAAACGGTGACACCAAAGGCACGTATGAAATCTGCCCAAAATATTGCTTACAAGCCATGGAAAGTTTCCAAAACACATTTTAAAAAAGCTTCGTTTAATAACGTAAGAATCATTTAACAATCACCGCAATCAAGTAGACGTGTGTTTTCGGTTAACGCCAATCTGTTATCATCAAGAACCACAATGATAATGCTCAAACCGAAGATCACTCCGGCTTCGTACCTGGAAGGTCTGAGGTTCGAATACTGATCCCGATAGCAAGCCTCCTGATTTTAGTTTCAGTTTCCATTTGCGTACCTTCCCGTTTCGTAGATGAACGGCTGAACGGATTTTCATTACATCTGAAAATATGGATTTTCTGAAACATAACCGATCATGCTTAAAATCGGACAGCAATAACAAGCACTTTACATGGGAACCTACACGCATTCTACCCGAGGAAGTGGCTGGGTGGGAAGCCCTCGGCTACCTTGATTACATAATTACCATGGTTACTACGGCTAATTGGGGAATCCCCAGCCACGCATACAACTATGACGTCACTGGTGTTACTCACAAAGGTGAAAGGAACAATTCTGGCGAAGGCCTCAGATCTGTTACGCTAATACAGTTACATTTCCTAAATTGTTACCTTCATCACACCAAGACCGAATCTGAGTTCCCACACAATCTCATACCAATGAACGAACACCGGGAGCTCCTCCCCTGAGGGTAAAGCGGAGGTAGCATGATGCTGACCACGCACTTAGACTTCCATCCATGGTTTTAGAATATGCGGAGCTTTATATCCACTCCCCTATACGCCTTCACTGCGTGATTGTCAGGCATAAAGCATAATTTCCCGTTGCTTTATAAAAGTCAATCAACCTGTGTCCAGTTCGAAAAGGCCATATCATTTCCTGGTTTTTGGTGGTAAGGGAGGAGGGAGGTTGTCTGCTTTCTGCAGTGCCGGTCGCCCTTACTGCTGAAGCGAGATGACTTACAGGTTACTGGTTTTCACGGTCACCCACACGACGTTAATCCGGTAGAGATGCTGGTGTAAGTATGTATGCATGTACCCGATTTATGATGGCTGCCATGCAGGAAACGCTACTGCTAATAGCTACTGTTCATGTAGGGGCATGACGTAATGTTAGCGACAGCTTCTTTCTTGTGTCGGGCGATTCGCATCCTTCAGCATAACGAAGTGCGGAAACGTGTCCTCGAAACAGCACGCAATTTTCCACGTGCGTTTCCTTCAATTCTGTAAAAATATCTCATTAATTAAGACGTTAATGTATTGTAGACACACGCAAAAGCTAATGCCGCATCTCTTCACGATATGTAACCTGAAGATGACTGTCTTCTGGGGGTTCATCATCAGGGCGATGAGTAAATCACCGCGAGCTTGGTGGCCAACTCATCGTTCTGATGATGGAGGTAGTATGCACCTCTGAAAAAGTTGGTAAACTTCTACCAAACCGTACAGTGCAACATCCTAGGAGACAGCCATCTTCACACTCCCACCGTGAGAACCTGAATTCTCACGACATACCTAATCGAAAAAAGAAACTGAAGTT